ATTCTAAAAAAGACTTTGCTCCATCGTTCTATATGTACGAACTTTTTATTATCTCACATTGCCACTCACATACTTTAACCAAATAAACAAAGCAAAACTGAGCGTGAACATAGTGATATTTTTGCTGCTACAACGCAGTGAGAAAAGCTTTATGAAAATTATAGACAATTTTGATACTACGAGATCCAAACTTTTGAATGAATATTGTAAGCTTTATAAATTATTTCTGTTTGATAAAATTGGTGTTTATTGTTCAAGTGTCAAAATTTATGAAAAAGCCTAATCAATGCACATCGCAGAGTTTGGTAATTCAAATTGATCCATATCTAGATAAAAAATCGTAAAAAGTGTGAGTGTGTGTGCATGGGTGTGCACGTCTGCGCTTGTGTATTATGTGTCTGTATGTATGTACGTACGTGTATGTGTGTGTGTCCTTTGTACGGTAAGAAAAGCAAAAAGATTGAGTGGATACGGTACAAATTTAGCAGTTCTCATAATCGATCCATTCCACCACAGCTTCTTGTTTTTTTTTTTGACGGCGGCGAACACTTTCTCTGAACAAAAACTTTTCACAAGTGTACTAGTAGTCTTTTGAAAGCTGAAATTTTTGGCTACTGCTTTACACATCCGCTTTTCTGAAAATCCTTTTTATAAACGCTGTAGAATTCAAATTAAGTTATATTTAACAGCTTCTGGATGTTTCATTGTCACCTCGCTAGAAGGACGGAAAGCATATTAACGTGTAGAGAATATCTTGTAGTATCAAAGTCATACGTTTTATTGGATTTTTTTGAAACAAATAAACAATTTCTAATAGAATAGCAAGAATCGCATTTCACTTGTGAGCTTCCTAGGCACCGTCGATCAATTGCCGTGTTAAAATGCTGGCAGCCGCCTCCCTACCTCACACCTCCAGCTCGTGAGTTGGCCAAAAGTCAACTGCTCGCGCATATAAATCACTTTTTTTTTTGCTACACTGCGTTCAATAGGTCTATAGATATTAGCACAGCGTTAGAATGATCGGAACTTGTGCTATGGAATGAATGGTAATAGTCCAAAGAAGTAACTCTTTCCGCGAGGCCAACGTGTGTGAGACACAAATGTTCACTTTTTGCTAAAGTGTTACAAATAACTTTAAAAAAAAAGACGGTCTAGTGGTGGATTAGCTTGGGGATTTTAGCCTATCTGTTCTCCGTTCCGACCCTTTGTAAAAAACGTATTTCTTGGTCATTTTTAATGTTCACTAGTTGCTAGATAGCACTAGTCAATAGAATCTGAATGGTATATCTCGCTTGCAGAGCCTTCTTATTGCGCTGGAAGAGCAAAAAAAAATCAATTTCTCATTCTGACTAGAGCTTTTCCTTCAAGTATTAGTAAACAATCGAGAGATCAAATTGTAAGAATCCCAACGATTTATTTGGTAATTGTAATGGACCTAGCGTTACGCTGTGACAGCCAATAGAAGACTGGGTTTTCATCAAAAATGAATAACTTCAACTATCTCTTGCCCACTTCGATCCATTGGAAAAACACATCTTTTGATCGTTTCCAACGTATAAGTATTTAATCGATAGCTTAAATCAAAAAAATTTCAATAGTGTACTTAACTTTCGAAAAAACCTTGTTGTTGCCCATAAAGAGCAACATCAATATATTATTCCGCATTCGAAGTTCTCGCTGACCAGAGCCTTATAGCTTCAACAATCAGACCATAGATCAGATCTCAGGGATTCCGAAAATGTCTTTGGTTTTTTGAATGACTTCCTAGGTGCTCTATGAGAGTCAAAAAATTGCGTTTCGTACTCGGCCTTATTTTAGTTTTGCGAAGCCCAATTTTCTTTTGTTGTTGCAGCGTGATACAAGGGCCACATATGTAACCAAATAGATTATTGGGATCTTTGAGATCTGATATATCGACTGCTTTCTAAAACTCCAAAGGGAAGGCTTTGAAACAGCGAGAAGTCTTGAATGAGAAACTGTAACATATTTTTATTCCTTCAGTAAAAAGGCCTTTTGGAAGATAAAATATACCACTCAAGTTTTTTAGATCTGGGCTATCTAATGGGCAGTTGAACATTGAAAACGGCCACAAAATACTTTTAACCATGGTGTCGAATTGAAGAGCGGATATTGGAAGTAATTCTTTGTACAACGAAAGATATTGTTTTCATTTGCCGCCCTTTCACAAAAAGAGGATCCTGTCGTTCATTTACCACAAAGTCTTTAATTAATTAGCATAATGTTTCCCCTGCTCTTTGAGGGGTACCTCTTCATTATGAATAATTCTAAATGTTCATCGAAATGGCTCTTTTACAGCCCTTAAGGATAGTCGAGCTAGGTCGTCTACACTCGTGGGAGAATGTTGGTGAAGAGACCGAACCTTGACTTTTGCCTAAATGCATCACTATCTATCTACTTCACGTCCACAGCCCTGTAGATAGTTTATCTAACTTAATCTTCTCTAGTTTTCTGTGCTGTTACGTAATAGACTTTCAAAATTACCTCGATATTATGTCGTCACCAAGTTAAACGATAAAAAATTGAACCACTGCGTTGTTGATAGGTAAATAGTGTGATGACTGCTTTTATAGTGTGTTTTTTGGGCTAAAGATTGCAGTTTCGTAATTAATCAGTCAAAAATTACATCTCTTCATATTTTTCTGACCGTGTATAAAATGAAACTGTAGAGCTCAACATGAATTGTGTAACCGTGTTGTGAGAAGAATCATTGAAAGTTTTCACTTCTGTTGATATGTTGGGATGTTCCACTACAAACTTCGCACTACTGTTTTGTTCAGTTTTTCCTCTTGCAAATAGGATTACTGCCAGACTGTAATATTGCTGCAGAATGATCTTGTAGCATTAGTCAGGGGGAGGGGGTGGTGGAGGAGTATAAAGGGGACACGGACTCTGTTGGTTTGTGAAACTGGTACTTGACATTTGTCACCATCAATTACGCTCGATCATGCTTCACAAATATAAGCCAAGATTAGTGCAAGAAAGACGGCCGATATGGTTATCACTGCCTTTGGTCCATGCACTACTACTGATTGAACTGCGTGCCCTTAACGCAAGCGCTTCAACGGAGGCGATACGAGATGAAAGTGCATCAGAATGGTAGTTCCAAGAAATTGTAGCAGAGACTTTAACACGGGCGTAACACCATCGCACATCATCTAAATGAAAGACCCACATCAAGGTGATGTCTCAGTGGGCAGCGCATGCATTGAGCGGCAACGACTGCGATGCACGCGTGATCAACTTGCGGAAGTCTTCTGCTACAGCCGCACAGACAAGACTTTCTTAAGTGAATCGTCACTGGAGACAATTCCTGGATCTAATACAAAAACAACACATGCTATGCCTGTTGGCTACTTTACAATAAAGACCTGCCCTCCTCAACCAAAGCCCAAGTTCTACACTCGAAAGATTATGCTCTTGACTGCGTTTGATTTTCGGGATTGGCAAGGCACACTGTCTCACAAAGAGCTAAACATCAAGCGGACAATCAGTGCCAAGGTCTGCGAAAAAGAACTTATAAAGTCGGAACGCGAGTAGTGCCAAAAAAGCATCCAAGACGATTTAGCGCTGCTTCCTCCAGGTAACTCGAACACACTTTGCCATTTTTACTTGTTATATTACGGGCAGGCTCTGCTGAATCAGGGTGCCACACTTGCCCTATAACCCCGATATTGCTCCACCAGATTATCATCTCTTCTATACGAGCATCTGCAGGAGAAAAAAATTTCAGACTACAACTAACGCAAAAGTGACTTCACCGACTTACTTGACCGCCATCGCCGTTCTTTCTAAAACAAAAAAAAATCAGTTTTTAACCAGCAAGTTGGATATCATTGTTCATGATGGTGATTATATTTGTTGATTTTTTGATTTCTTTGAATAAACAACATTAGATTTAATGATACTGCTGAGACGCGATTGTAATAATGGCCCCAATATAAGGACATTATAAGTAAAACTGAATACTTAACTTCTTCAACAAAAAACATTGAATGCATCTGTGGCAGAGCCCAGTAGTGATCAGATCTTGCTATTTCCTCAATATGGCCTGTTGTCGAAGTCTGCATAACACGTTTTTGCATTCAGAGACACATAACCATATTAATTCCGCTAGAAACTTTTCAGAGTAGCTCAACCACCTATCATTACATCTTTAATGTCCTTACTCACAATTATAGATGCACCGGTTATTGCACATGGGTTGCATATTTGATTCAGTTTACCATCAAGACAAGCATTCCTTACAATTTATAATTGATGATGGTTGGGAAAATGACATGAATATCGTACTTTACTACAATTATCTTAATAATATCTAAAAGGTCAGCAGAAAAGAACTGAAATCGCATGCTAAAACTGCTCAATAGAAGTTGGTTGCAGAAAGGACATTGAATGCATCGCATTCGTTTATTTATGTTCTTCAATTATACTGTTTGTTGGTATAATTCAGCTGCAGGTAGCTCAAAACACACAGCGGCGAGTAAGGTCAACTAATTGCAAGGAAACGAATATAACTTAATTGCGATATTTTTGAAAAGCAAGAAATCATCTACATGACCTTAGAAAAAGTCATGGAACGGCTACAAGACGCAATGTGAAGTGGGATTAAAATCGCAGAACACTTTGAAACTTCAGTCTATAGGGAGATTTAGAGGTGTGTATTAGGCAAAAATTGAAATACCGTATGCGTTGTGGAGATGATTTGTTAGGCTTTGTGTCATAATTTTATACTTTTTTTGAACAGCTAGGTGCAAGCACAAAAGTAGTGCTTTCCGTTTAATCCTTGAACTTGGCAGTGTTTCCCAAAGGCGTATTAATTTCAATTATGTAACTGTATTGCTTGTCAATGTAATTTTGTTAATGTCCATATCAATTAACTTCTAATAGATACTCGGAATTTCTAGTGTTTTTACTGCATTTTTCGCAGTGTTATAATGTCTCGTATATGCCCAAGAGAGTTGAGTGGTGAGCAAAAATACAACCTCAGTTAGGAGTCGAACCCGCGTTTCATTCATACGGGGGATGCGTGCTACCACTATACCACTGAGGTATATTTGCGCCGCCACTCATTCTTCAACATCTCTATGTTATCTGTCAGTCAGAAACCTTTGATAGACTCGGTAGGGTATGCGATTTCGCCTTATAAACACAGGAGCTTAAAGCGATTGTAATATATGATACACGATTTTTCTAGTATTTTTACTGCATTTTTGCAGTCTTATGATGTTTCAAAACGAGCGCATGTGGCGCAGTGGTTAGAGGTGCCCTGTGTCGCACACGAGGTCACTGGTTCGATCTCGCGCACATGGTTCACCAAGCCATCCATCCCTCCGCGGTCGGTAAATTGGTACCAGACAGGCCTCACACTTGTCTGGAAGGATAAGCAGCACTGACTCGGTTCAGCGGGAGGCCACCGCGAGTCATTGTAAAGGCCAGATGTGCATTCAATCACCTCAAACGAAGTTAGAAATTGAAGTCGAATGCATGGCGCATCCCTCAGGGATTGATCAACGCTGAGAGCTTTATCCTTTTATCCTTTATGATGTTTCAAATATCTTCATATATATATTAAAATTCAATAAGAGAATAATGTAATAAGTAGGCATACAGTACCTTTTATAGATTATTGAGCTATGTTGCCTATGCACTGTTTTCAGCAAAAACCGGTCGTGTAATTTTTTTCGAGGACAAAATACAAGAGATCGTTACAAAATAGACAAATACGCAAGAGGAGTTTTGGTTTGGTCTTAAACGGCGCTGTTATCCTGGCGGTGCGATACAATCCGGCATTGCGAAGCTCGTTTGCTATAGTGTGCCCCACACATAGCACCGCCAAAAAGGGTTTCTATTCATCTTCGTTATCTGGAATACACCGGGGACATTACATTAAGGATTCAGAGAATGTCTTTGCTGAAAATTTATCAAACTCGATGTGATGAGAGAGCATCGATTGCTTTTGAGTATTTTTTCTGTTATAATTGCTATAATTGAATCATTTTCTAAATTTTCATAATATGGGGTGTGGCAGCGCAGCGATAAGTGAGGTGGCATATTAGGAGACAAGGTGAAGAGCATCGGTTCGATTCTACCCCAGAACTCTCTTGTAGTCACTTAACGAATGTCCTAGGAAGCACCTTAGTGTGGCTACCTTCAAGATTGCAAGGGAACGTCTCGATAAGTATTCTGAGGCATTCGTCAAAAAACCAAATCTTCAAGCAGCAGCCAAAAGAAGCTTGAAGATTCGAAGACTTTTGTGGAAGCGAAATGAGGGAGAATGAATCGACTATAAGAAGTGCTGGGATCTGCACGGTGAATTGTCATAGCGGGAGCTATGAATTAGAAGAAAACATCGGCATATTCAGATATCAGCGTTGGAGTTTGGGCTTGATGAATCAGTAAATGTATCGACTTCGGCAAAATTTCAGCACTGAGCATCATTCGCGCTGTGATGCGGCAGCAAATCTTTAGGAGAAATTTTTGGCGACAGCGTAAAACATCTTTCTGATAAATTGCGAATCACCTTGCTCTTAGTGTTATCGCATAATTTGAACGGCTTAAAGAGTAAGTTTGGAGAAAAAAATTTATTTCTGATAACCATAGTGGTTACACCAAAAAATTAGTCGATTTGCTGAAATAACGTTATAACACGTTTTGAGCCGTCAGGTCTAGCGCTTGCAGGTGTCCAACCGGGACTTAACATTGGCACTCTCCTCGGTTAAGCCGATCCCCTGACGTTATATAATCCTCTATAAAGGAATTTACGCTGAGTAACAAATAACCCCAAGTCAGGTGGTGAGTTACCTGACATTGTGGTTACCGGCAGTCGAGCTTGTTGCCTTTACAATAACTCATACCTCTCCTTTCGACCGCTTTTTATAGACCCGCTCAAAATGGTAGAATCTGAAAAGGACACAACATGTTTTGAGCCGTTAGGTATAGTGCTATACTTCCATCTATTCCATCATCTAACCTGCCGCAATTTATTACTCGGCGTCGATTCCGTTATAGACTATTATTTAGCCTCGGAGAATCGGCTGAACCGAGGGATGGTGCTACTGATGAGTCCTGGTAAGACGAAACAGGAGCCTATATGCTACTAGGGCTAACGGCTCAAAGCATGATATATCTTTATTAGATTATACCATTTTAAGGGGTATAGAAAGGCGGTCGAAAGGAGAATTTATTTCGTTTACTGGAAATAACGATCTGCTATTTTTCAGATAAAGTTCTTCAATCATCAAACGCATGATCACATGATAATTTTCAGCTCTGGCCACTTTTTTTATGTATCAATTTTAAAAAGAAAATCAGTGCTTTATAGGGGTCACTTAGAATCCGCTTACTAATGAGTCACGCGACTTTGTGTTAAAATGCAGTAAACCTCTTAGAAAATTGATCACCTTGTTAACGTTGCTCTTTTTTAGTGGAAACACGTTAGCTCCGGAGCTGATAGGCAAAATGCTCGGTTTGCTGAGTGTAATGCTGTAGAATGTGTGCGTTTGCTCTCACCTCGCCATCGCACTGAACAGAGTGATCGCCATCGTGTTACCTTTACGAGCCTCCTGTGCACTAACAGTTTCAGTCATAATTCTTTCTATTTGACTGCCACTTGCAGTGGTATGATGTTATTAGTATACCCAATATGTGGAGTACTGTGCAAAACGAGCGTCGGTAGTGCAACTGTTAGCATACGCTCCCGGAAAGAGTGAGATCTGGGTTTGAATCCCGGCCGATGCAAACGTTTTTGCACAGTACTCCACATATTGGATACCTCTTTTATCGCTTCAATGTGCTGGATGATCGGTTTCTTTCACATAATACCGTATTTTGGAGTGAGTTTTGACACTTTTGTCGTTTGATTGCAAGCGACTCTCTAAAGCACTCTGGTAATAACATTCACTTATGTTCTGTAGTATTTTACTGACTATAAGAGGGTATGAAAATATTTATTCCACAAACTTTTCGGCTCCCTCGTCTTTTTGAGAACAGAATTGACTGGAATTGATGGTTTACAATCGGCCATTGTCACGAGATGGGTATTCGCTGACATGTACAGTTGAATTCATGAAGTGAGATATCAGTATCATACAAAACCCATGCAATGATGAGGTTTTCTACACAGCAGGTGTTGATCTATTACCGCCAACCAAGACCACCTAATTTTGGGCGCTAATACATCTTGTACTGTGCTGCGTTAGCTAATAAGTGACCTACTGCTACACATCGCTAACAGCAAAATGTAGATTATGTTGAATAACGACAATAAATCAACATCCATTCTGTATTAAACGGCTTTGCCATAAGAAGTCCTTTATTTGGGCTGTGCTCCTTTTCACTGAATATGATTTGAGGCGACAAGAACCATCTCTATCATGAGTACGGCCACTCATGGATTACCGACTCGCATCAACTAGGCTGTAAAAAGAGCAAAAATCTCGCAATTTTGACTGATTGAAGTTCTTATACGAAATCGTGTCAGCTCAGCTATGTCGAACAATATTGTGATCGCTATTCAGAGTTGTTGCATACACGAGTAAACAGACCCATAACCTTTATATTGGTATAGAATAGTACGCGCCCTTATATACACGTTCCTCTTCGAGACACAGAGTATTGAGTAAGGTGTTAGAAACAACCATTTATTAGAAATACTTTGGCTTCTTTTCCATCAACTGACAAGCATACAAGGGGAATATTTTGCTGGTCAAAAAATTTCCTTTTGACTTTTTGTTGCCATTCTAAAGCTCAAATCACGGCGAACAAGAAAGTTTGCTTTCTGTTAAAAAAAAGTTCTTTTTAGCGCTGCAGCATTGGAAGTAGGATCATGTTTCACACGTGTTCCAATTCTTTGTCTTTTCACGCATTATCGCTTGTTTATTTGCAGGGCAAAGCTCTTTCTTCAGACTTCTAGTAGTTATTTGATGACTCAGATTTTAACGAACTGGAAGATGCATTTGCTTTTTAGAAAGGTTTTCAACAGCGCTGTAGCAAGAAAAAAAGTTTATCTTTCGCAAAAACATGGCCCTTTCCATCAATATGAGTAGCCATTCGATAGCGCAGGTCCTGATGATTCTAGAGCCATATTTATGTTCTGGAAAGACCGTTACACTTCAGTGTGACAAGAAAAATAAACTGAGCTTCAGACACGCCTCGTAGTGCTAGCTGGTTACAGTGTGTGAGTGCCCGTGGTTCTATAACGCGGTCGATAGAGCGTGCAGGTGCGACTCACATGTGAGGTGCAATTTTTATTAATCAACTTAGGAAATTTCTTTGTTTTTACAAAAAGTCTAGATGAAATATATGATTCTGATCCTTGAAGACTTCCTCCACGTATTCATACGTTTTTGTCACTTGGGTCCTAAAATGTTAAAACAAAGTTTCTTCTACAAGTTCAGTGCAAAGAACCTAAAGATCTCTGCAAAACAAAGAAAAATTCTCAAATGTTAGGTTGAGCACAAGCTTTGAGAAGTATTTCAACTTTTACTTTCCGACATCTTCTTGCCATTCTTCATTGATAGTCTTGTGGATGTCTATCCAACTAATCAATTTTAGCTCCAAAACGGCTATTGAACAGATGATCCGGCATTATTGGTAAAAAAGGTTCATGGATTTTTGAAACCGTTGATGAGAATCATGAGAGTGAAGGTGCTGATACGGCTCCAAAATCGACTGTGGGAAGATGGTCTGAAGGTAAAAAAAGACCATCTCCTCTTAAAAATAAGCTTTGTTCTAGCTAACCATCTGTTCTCGATGGAAATCGCTTTCAAATCGCAGGACGTCGAAGATCTTCCCTAAACCGTTTACAATCCAGACGTTGCTTCATCTGACTATGGCTTATTCAAGGAATGCAACATTTTTTGAATGACTGTCGATTTGAATCATTTAGAGTTGACGGAACATATCAAGAGTGCTCCGATGCGAAAGAGCCAAAATGGCATTTCGAACAGATCTGAGATCTTGCAGAACGTTGGCAGAAAGTCGTGGGCGAGGTGGTCTGTAAATTGAAGAATATTCAATGTTATCTTTATTGTTAATTTGTTTGTAAAATCA